ATGATCTTCTTGCCGACGGGACTAGCATCCCAATGGCTATTAAATCTGGTTATTGTAAGTTGTTACCGTTTTCTTCACTTCGGTTATTAATATTTTGTCTTTTGTTGTCGCTAACAGGTGGACTTTTGTGACCTTGTAGCAAAACCAACCGGGAAGAGAGAGCCCAAGTTCGAAGGTCTTCTATACGATCGAGTGGACAAATTGTTTGAAGTGTCTCATAACAAACGACGATATCAACGTCTTGTAAAGGATTCCCGTTTAGAGTTGGCTCGTTTATCTCCCGGGATACTTGATTCTTCATTTTTACCAGGTAATCTTCTTCGCTTATCTCGTAGCATTGTTTGTGTTAACGAAATCGGTCTAACTTTGAATTTGCTGTAACAGTCTATTATCCATTGCTGGGATATTTTGGCTTCGGAGATCCCACAGAAGCAGAAGTACACCGGAGACGTAATCCGAACTTCGACTTAAAGAACAAAGTCGGAAAAAACAAAAATCTTCGATCAACCGAAATGGCTGGACGCATAAACCTCCTTAAGGCGTGGAAGAAAAACCCCAACCGATCTCAAAGTGCTGTCGGTGAACCATCGTCAACAAGGGTAGAGCCTACGCCAGCGATTGTGAATGAGCCAGTAGTTACCGACGTCCCGCCACTTGAGGTGGCACCACTGCAGCAAATAATGACGCCGGTTGATGAGCCCGTGGTTGAGCCAGAAATCTCCCAAGAAGCGCCAGGGGAGTCCGACGTGCCAGTGATTCATCGTCGCAAGAGATCCAGCGTATCTCACGTGGCGGAAAGGATGAAGAAGAGACAAGACACCGGCGTCGGCAAGGATAAGGAGGAAGAACCCGAAATCATTCTGAGGGATTCCTTCCTCAAAATAAATAAGAAAGCGGCGGAGCTGACGTTGCCGGAGGGCGTGTTCGACCCTTGGTTCTCAATGTTTCAGACAGTCATCGAGCCAAAAATCACAAACAATCAGCGGTTCCCCGATGAAGCGGTTAAGGCGGCGAAGGTCCCTTTGATGTCGTGGGACCCGAAGACGCACGCCGGAATTGCATCTCTGCCTGATGATCAAAAGTTCAGCTATGCCCGAGGTTGTTTAGGACGGGCGCTGGTTAGCTTTATTGCTGCCGAGGAAAGTTATCGAGGGAGAGTGCATGAATTAGATGAGAAGTAGCACGAGCTGAGCTTGAAGGAAGGCGCAATTGCTTCCTTAGAGGACGAGAGGTCTCGCTACGAAGCGTTGATGTCAGAGAAGGATACCCAGTTGAAAACAGCACAAACCGAAGTGAGCGCTCTCAAGACTGAAAAGGAGAATCTATTATTGGCCCACGATCTCTTGTCGGTTCAACTGGCTAAAGTTGCCGAGGTAGCCAAGGAGAAAGATGAGCAGCTCGCGAAATTGAAGGCTGAGCTCCAAGCTGTCCGGAAGGACCGATCTGATAAGGATGCTGAGCTAATCCGATGTCGCGAGGCTCATGAAGCTGCTATGGGTAAACTCCAACGAGAGATGACAACCACGGCTGAGCTCAAATTCCAGGAGGGTATCGAAGTCGGGAAGCCGAGTCCGACAATGCATCTAATGCCAACGCAGTAATGGAGTGGGAGTTGGAATTAAAATCCACCTTAGCTTTGCGTTGGGTGATCGATAGAGTAGAAAGCGGTGTATACACTATGGATGAATTGCGTATCTTCCTCCTTCATAAAATGGAGAAGCATGGTTTTAATCCTGAAATGAAGAACGCCCATATTCCGGCCGACTAGGATGAAAGAGACTTCGCTAACTGACTTCTAAACCAGAAGGAAAGTCGGATGTTGGAATTAGACTTGATACCCTTGTCGGAGGAGCGCAAGGCAAAGATCCGTCGGTCATTTGTCGACATGGTCCTCGAAGTGGAAAAGGCCAAGAAGCCTGAAATGGCTAATATATGTGTGGAGACGATTACCGAGGCCTTTGTCACAGAAACATTTGAGGGCTTGTCTGATGAGGAGCTTCTGGGCGCGATTATCAGTTTTGCCTCACGCAAGGTGGCGGAGGATGACGCCAAGGCTAAAGGATGGGTAACTGATCCAGTTCCTTCTGATGACGATCGTGTTCTGTATGAAGATGATGATGTCGTCGTGATCAAGGAAAGTGATATCGTCCGAGCACTGCAGGAGAAGGAAGAAGACGTAATTCAGCGTCTAAGCTAGAGATTAATTGACCATATGGATGCTGTTGATAAGGACAAGGCTGGAGCCGGAATTCCTCAGTCTGGAGAGGCGTCGTCATCAGGGACCAAAGAAACTTAATGTTTCTTATTTATTTTGTCGTTTGTTTGTCTATTTTTCTCGAAATGTACTGACAATATTTGGTTTTGGAATGAAATATTAATGTTTGATGGTTTATGAATGCTTCAATGTGACTTATCATTGTAACGAGTCAAAGTATGTGGGAAAAGGTGAATAAGTGTTTGTTAAACTAAAATTTCCGACATAACATTAATGTGATAATTTAGACGAACTATTGACGTCGGTGTAATCTTACGGTATTTCCGACATCAATAACTATCAGAACAAGTTACAACAAACTTGCTTTTATTGGAAGCATTTATTGTGAAAGTCCTTGAATGTCTCAAAGAACTTAAGGATTTTATTGTCAGCTCATCAAATCAACGTCGGGATTTGATATTAAAGAGCATAAGCCTCCCCAAACCATCTTCAGGGCTTGGAAGTATCCGGCTTTGTCGCGTTTGGCTAGGTCATACCATCTTCAGGGTATGAAACACGTTTAGCCTTAGCAACGAGGACCGATTTATTATGGTCCGAGTGATCGAACAAATTATAGAGGTTCGTCACACAAATTTTATTGATAGCAAAACATGGCTCTTGTACAGGAGTAGGGCAAAAACTTTTCACAGGTCAAGAGTAGAACTTTGATCTTCAAGCTCACTGATAATACTTCTTCAGATGAGTCGTATTCTAGGGATATGGAAGAGGAACACCGTCTAACATTTCAAGTCGGTAGGTGCCATTAGAAATCAGTCGATTTACTTTAAAGGGTCCTTCCCACTTCGGCTGTAACGGGCCGACATTGGCCCCAGTGACTCTCTTCAGTACAAGGTCCTCTTTGACAAACGAGCGTGGCTTGAGTCTTGAGTTGATGTACTTTTCACTACGTCGTTTATAAGCGGCATTGCGAATTTTGGCATTAGCCCGTAACTCATCGACCAAATCGAGACTGGCTTTCAAGTTTGCCGAGTTGGTTTCTTCAGAGAAGTGAGTGACCCGATATGTCGGGGAAGCGAGTTCAACCGGTATCACAGCTTCAGTCCCGTAAGCTAACGAAAATGGAGTTTCTCCAGTCGAATTTCTCGTCGTGGTCCGGTAAGACCAGAGGACATATGGCAACTCATCAGGCCATGATCCTTTGGCAGCTTCAAGCCGAGTTTTCAGACCATTCTCTATAATCTTATTTACGGCTTCTATCTGTCCATTTGCTTGCGGGTGATAAGGTGACGAGAAGAAGTGCTTGATGCCGTAATCTTCACAAAAGCTTTCAAATCGCTTGCCTTCAAATTGACGACCGTTGTCGGTTATGATGGAGTTCGGAATTCCAAACCGACAAATAATTGACTTCCATACAAAATCAAACATTTTCTGCTCCGTGATGGTTACCAGGGGTTCGGCTTCAACCCACTTAGTGAAATAATCGGCGGCTAAAATAGCAAACCGAACTCCCCCTTTTGCTGTTGGAAGTGGACCGATCAAATCAATTCCCATTTTGCAAACGGCCATGGGCTATAGATTGACTTGAGGAGTTCAGGATGTTGATTAACATTAGGGGCAAATATCTGGCATTTGTGGCATCGTCGTACCCAGTCTGCGGCGTCTTTTCGGATAGTCGGCCAATAATAGCCTTGTCGGAGAATCTTGTGGGATAAGGCTTGAGCTCCTTGGTGAGTGCCGCAGACTCCTTCGTGTACTTCTTGAAGGACTCGTTGAGCGTCAATCTCTGACAAGCATTTAAGCAACGGAGTAGAATATCTGCGCTTGTATAACGTTCCCTGATCAATGGTGTAATGAGCAGCACGAACACGAAGAGCGCGAGCTTCTTTCGGGTCTTCAGGTAAGGCCCCGGTTTGAAGATAGTTGACAATCGGGTTCATCCACGTCGGATTTGAAGTTGGTGGGGCGGCGTCAACCATGACGACGTCGGTAGAGACTGTTGATGAGGTTGCCTGTTGAGTAATTTGCACGAACTCAACATTATTCAAGTCGGTCGATGAGGCCAATCGTGAGAGAGCATCTGCCTGAATATTGGATGACCGAGGTATATGTTCCAACGTCATTTTAATCCGTGTCAGCTTCTTTTTTACGAGATCAAAATAAGGCAACAACCGTGGTTCTTTAACTTCGTAAGTGCCATTGATATGGCTGACTAGTAACTGAGAGTCGGAAAATATTCGGAGAGAGGAAACATTCATGGATTCAGCAAAGCGTAGACCTGATAAAAGGGCCTCGTACTCGGCTTCGTTGTTGGTGGCCGAGAAAGTGAATGCTACAGAATAGCAAAACACTTGTTGATCAGGACTAACTAAGACGATCCCTCCTCCAGCTCGTATAGCGGTGGACGATCCGTCAATGTAGAGAGTCCATGTCGGATCTTCAATGGATGTATTGACAGTGGGAGTAAATTCAGCAATGAAATCAGACAGCACTTGAGCTTTGATAGCGGTTCGTGGTCGGTACTGAATATCAAACTGTCCCAATTCTATCGCCCATTTAATCATTCTTCCCGACGTGTCAGGTCGGTGGAGAACTTATCGGAGAGGGTATGTCGTAAACACAATAATTGAATGCTCTAGAAAATACGGGCGCAGCTTCCGTGCAGCGATGACCAGAGCAAAGGCTAACTTCTCCATATGTGGATATCGCAATTCAGCGTCATGTAAGGCCTTGCTAACATAATACACCGGAAACTGTTGAAGCCCATCTTGTCATATAAGAACAGCACTAACAGCAACGTCACTTACACCAAGGTACAAATACAGAGGCTCATCAGGAAGTGGCTTCTGCAATGTCGGTAACCGTAAAAGAACTTCTTTAATGTTGTCAAAAGCATTCTGGCATTCCGTGGTCCATTCGAACGGTTTCTTCTTTTTGATAGCGTCAAAGAATGGCTTGCAATGATCCGTAGACTTTGAAATGAACCGATTGAGAGCTGCCAGTCGACCAGTTAAAGCTTGGACACCTTTGATAGATGTCGGGGGAGCTAGGTCAAGTATGGCTTGAATCTTGGCGGGATTGGCTTCGATCCCTCTCTTACTCACCATGTATCCTAAAAACTTCCCTGATCCAACTCCGAAAGTACACTTCTTGGGGTTAAGCACCATAGAATATTCTCGGATTATATCGAAGACTTCGGAAAGGTGGGTGATGTGATCAGAGGCCTGTTCCGACTTCACTAACATGTCATCTACATAAACTTCCATCGTATGGCCGATCAAGTGAGCAAACATCTTATTGACTAACCTCTGATACGTGGCCCCTGCATTCTTCAGTCCGAAAGTCATCATGACATAACAATAAAGGCCTCGAGCTGAGTAGAACGAGGTATGTTCAACGTCATCAGGGTGCATAGGAATTTGATTATAGCTTGAATAGGCATCCAAGAAACTCATAAGTTGATGTCCCGATGTAGCATCTACCATGTAATCAATGTGTGGAATGGGGTAGCTGTCCTTCAGGCATGCTTGATTCAAGTCTGAAAAATCTATGCACAGACGCCAAAGGCCGGTGGCTTTCTTGACCAAGACAGGATTTGATATCCACGTCGGGTACTTGGCTTCTTTGACAAATTTATTGTCTATGAGCTTATTTACTTCCTCTTCAAGGGCCTTCTGGCGATCCGAGCCAAATTTCCGGCGTTTCTGGATGACAGGCTTGACAGTTTTATCCAAATTCAAGCGATGGCATGCTTTTTGTGGGTCAATCCCTTTCATATCTTCATGCTTCCAGGCGAACACATCGGAGTTCAACTGTAGGAATTGAATTAGATTTGATCGAATGGGTTCTTGAAGATTAGTCCCGATGCGCAGCAGTTTTTGCTGAGTCGATCCATCCACGTAAATGGTTTCGACATCTTCAACTGGCTCTGCACGGACATGACGATTCCCATCTTTAAACTGCATTCGTGGATCCATATCTTCATGCATTGCTGTGTCTCCCTCATGCAAAGGTTGTTCTTGATCAAGGACTTCAGTTAATGTTCCAGGCGAAACCGACGTCATAGGGATGTCGGTACTAATAAGCGGCATGTCGGTATCTGCTTGAGGCATGTCGGTATCCGGGATGGACTGATCAGTTCTTTTAGCATCAGAAGTTGAATTATTTGGCTCAACAGAGTTATCAACATCCTGCTCTTCAATCATATGAAAGCTACGCGAGGTTGAGAGCAACATCAGACTTCGGGCTTCTCGTTGATCTCCGTAATGAGTGCCTTCTCCTTCAATGGTGGGGAACTTCAGGGCATAATGAAAAATTGACACAACAGCACGGAGTTTATAAAGTGCAGTTCGCCCTATTACAGCATTATATTCATTCTGGACATCTAGAACTTTGAAAGTTTCCATAATGATCTTGGACTTCGGTCCAAAGCCACCAAACCGAATAGGGAGCAATATTTCGCCAACAGGACAAGAAATACTTCCATTAAAACCTTGAATTTGGTTGTTGCAAGGCCTAATGTCTGCTGGATCCAAGCCCAATTTCTTGAAAGTGCGGAGCATCAGAATACTTGAATAAGCCCCCGTGTCAACCAAAATCCGATGGACAGGAATCCCTCCAATCGGGGTTGTTATAATAAGAGCGTCGGAATAAGGATGAGCAAATAAATTGGCATCCTCGATACTGAACGTAATAGGGCAATTCCGGTTATTGATAGTATCTCGAAGATCAACATTCATGACTCGTTTCTCGGCATTTTGCGCCTCCCAGGCATAGGCTTTGACTTTCCGTCTTGAAGTATCTAATTGCTTATTATTGGAATTGACCCGAGGTATGCAATGTGAAGAACCTAAGGCATCATGTGTCCGGGATTTCCTACAGTTATCAGTCGAGGTTCCGATATGAGTAGAAAACGTGAAGACCTCTTTATCATTTGCACGAGCTCTTTTCTGGTTAGCGGGTCGGTTATCTTCATCTTCATCGTCTGAAATATCCAAGGGCCTTCCTTTCTGGCGGTTGTCAAAATTTCGAAACTTTTGAAGTTGAGGTTGTCCGATTAAGCGCAAGAGTGCCGACAAAAGACCGAGACACTCATCGGTATTGTGTCCGGGAGACTTATGGTATGCGCAGTACCGAGTTTTGTCCAACTTGTCTTCAGGAGTTCTCACAGGCCTCGGGTCTGGGATAATCCCTTTTCCTTTCAGTTCTTCATATATGGTAGCTGCTCTGGAGGAATAAACGGCATGATAACCTGTCCTGACGTTGTCCGAATATTGATCACGAGCAGCCCGAGACTCTGGAGTATTTTCATATCCTTTGGAGGAGTTCCAAAACTATGCTTTCCCAAAGTTCTTCTTGTTCTTCTTTTTAGCGTCCGGTTCAGTCTTGCTTTCTTTCACCGAGAAGTCGAAGCTGGGAACCGACATCGATTCTTCGGCAATAATAAATTGTTGAGCTCGCACAAGAAATTCTTGAAAGGTAGCAGGTTTATTTTGACACAAGGTCCAACGAAACATCGAGATGGGTTTCAATCCAGCAATGGCAGTTACTAACAAAGTTTCAGGGTGACAAGGCTCCATATTATGAATTCGGTCGTTGAACCGAGCCACGTAGTCTTTAACAGTCTCGTCGTCCTTTTGCGCAATGTTGGTAATCGATTCTTTCGGAATGAGGCAAATTTGAGCACCGATAAAGTGTGATCGGAAAGCCGCACGTAACTGTTGCCATTTCCAAATCGAATGAGGCGGGAGAGTATAGTACCATTTTTGAGCTCGTGGCCCCAGCGTAAGCGAAAACATCCGACACCTCAGAGCGTCTGAAGCACCATGTAAATCCATCCAGGACGTATAATGGCCCAAATGTGCATCTGGATCTGATGTCCCATCATACATGCCAATTTGTGGAATTTTTACCTTAGCTGGAAGCGCCTCTGCGGTAAGTTCCGGAGCTAATGGGGAATCCGCCTCAATAATGACATTTCCCGACGTCGTGACATGCCGGGGAGAGTCTTCCTGTGACTTCTGTCGCGTCTCAAGTTCAGCCAAACGTTTACGAAGAGTTTCAATTTCCTCTGCACTATGCCTTGAAAGGCGATTTCGTTCAATTTGGCGCCGTAGATCTTCGTGAGCGTGAGGCGCTGATGAAACGGGTCTAGGACGTGGAGAAGTTCTCTGGTGATGAGAAGAATGACTTTCAGCAGTCATCTCCTGCGCAGGGGGCTGATCTGGAACTTGATTGTTCGTTACGGGACTAGCAATTACATGAATCCGCTCTTCTCGACGTGGAGAAGTATGATGAGGTTGCGACATGGCATGTGATGTCGCTACATGTGTTTCAAGGTCATGATGAGTGTGGGTTGGATGTTCTGTTGGGTTAGCAGTTAACGGCATCGATAACGGTATCGTATTCGAGTTCCTGGGCATGGCTCGAGCTATCAACGAAGTTAAACCTTGAATAAACTCCGGATTTTGAAGAAAGTTCGTGACCA